ATTGTTGAACATGCATGATGTTCAGTGGCCACAGGCATTTTTGTGTTTTCAGATTTCTTTCCTCAGGCAACACAGCAGGTTTTTCTGCTGTCTGAACTAGCTGCAGGTATGTTTTCCAGAGGGGAAGGTGTAGAAGGGAGAAAGAAGCTTAAAAGGTCCAATTCATTAGTTCTTATTTTATTGATCTGGGATCTTCTGGCACTTGAAGCAATTTAAGGTACATCTTCTCTCTGTTTGAATGCAGGAGGAAAAGAAACATTGACGGAAGCATAATATCACAATAAAACATTCTTGCAATAATAAATACATCTCGTTTGGAAAAAGCAGCATTCTCTGATAGTTGTTTCTATTTATTTTTATTGGAGTGTATGATAATCTAATACATTCTTACTTCTAAAGCCACTCATGGGGGGGGAAGGGGGAAAGGAGAATAAGTGCAATAGGAAAGATACACAAGAGAGATTTCAAATCAGGGGAAAATACATTTTTCTACAAGTGCTTTTTCTGTCTTCACTGATGAAAACAGTAATTTAACTATTAATGAAAATGTAGAAGCATAGATGCTTAAGCACATATAGCTTTTTAATTATTTTTTATTCTAAATTATTATCTGCAATAGTGATAACCATTTTGAGAGTCACTGACATATTTATTATTCTGTCAGTAGTTGTTAATTATGAGCTTGGCAGCTATGCAATGACAGCACACTATTCTTAAGGGATTTTTGCTGAGACAGTTGATAGTGTCTAAGCAATCAGTAACAGCATGTCTACATCTGACCCATATTTTGGAATTCGATGTAAATCATGTTGCTAATGAGTAGTCCATGAGGCAATAACTAGTTCCATTTAAGTCTTGCAATTTACAGAAAAGCCATTTGTCCTGCAGTGTATTTAATGGCAGATATTCCTGATAGCTAATTTGATAAATGATTGCCTAGCACATGATGAGTGGTTTTCAGAGTTCTCATATTCAGCTTGATGTGGTTCCAACAAGAACAATTTCACCTCACTGGGGAAATTAGGTCTACGTAACTGGAGTGAGGCAGTAAATAAAAAATATTCCTATGTTAAAGTGTCAATCAGGTGGCCTCAGCAAGAGGCAGAGGAACAATACTTCAGATGTCTGAAAGAGTACAAAAGACTGGATTTGTCTCAGCAATTTGTTTAACCTGCTGCTTGAGAGAATGTTGTGCTGCTATGAAAACATGGGAGGTGACAATTGTGAGCTGCAACAGTATGCACTAAATTAAATCAGTAAAAATAAGTATCCTGTCTTCATCTCTGCCACATATGCTTCATCTTTACTTGCACATGCAGACATTGCAGAACCTGACAATGTTTGCAATCAAGATTTTTAATTGTCCTGAAGTACTCCAGGACAGGAAGCAGTATGCTAATATGTGCACTATCACCTTGGAGGAACCTGATACTACAAATGTCATTGTAATTCATTCAGATTTCCCTCTGTCTAAGGATATACTACCTTGCTCCCATTAAGACTGGCAGCTTAATAAATAATGTTAAGTACACTAAGGAAATAGTTCTATTTAAGGTAAGGATAGTAAAAGAAATGGTGGTAAAGCTGTCTGGCTTTCTCCAGATTTAGTCATCTATAATGATGGCTTTTGGAGATAGATATATGTGAAGTCTCTTAACCAGCTATTTTAAGCCTTCAGAATATCTATGATTTATTTGTCTGGTTAAAGAAATGTGGTGGGTATTTACAAGTAAGATTTAGATTCCTGTGTGTCGATAGCTGATGTGCATAAAATTACATGGGAAAAATTAACACTATTAGAACAAGATGCATTTATTCCTTATTTTCTGAATGACTAGGTATGACTGATGAAGCCACAGGTAAGTTACAGCATTTTTAGCATGTAGCAGCCTGGACAACCTTTAAGAATCAGGAATACTGCCAGTGAGTGTCTTTCATAGCTATTAAAACCTGAAACTGCTGTAATACAACCTGGGGTTAGTCTCTGAGTGAAGTATTCTCCCAGATATAAAGCTCGGGCTGTCATAGGCAAGCCTTGGAGGTGAGGTGTAGGGGTCACATACATAATTAGAAAAAGCACTAAAATCCTTATCCCCACATCAGGCATCGCTTGTTCTCTTTCTTTTCAGCTCCCTGCGAGCACATGCAGCTTCCCTTCCTGAAAAGACACAAGTGCACTCACTGTCCTGAACCCATAGCCATGAAAACTTATCTGTGTGTCTAGATTTATTTGGTTTTTTGCTCATGGGGCTTTCCTTTGAGGGGAATGAGGACAACACTGTGACTTGTGAAGTAAAAAGCAGGAGCTGGGGAGTGAAGTAGAAAGAAACAAACAAAAAACCGAAATACCACCAAATAGTTTGAAGTAGCTGGGATAAGTTAAAATCTGAGATCTCTTATTTCCTTTATGTACAAGAACTCTGTATACAACAGAAGTTTCACAGACCAAGAGGAGTTCTGGGTCCTGGTGGTTCCTGGTGTATGCAGACTGGAGATTTGCACTTGCACAAAACTTTATTTCCACTACCTTCAGGGATTCAATATTATATATATTCCAAAGAGTTAAAAAACTGTCCTCATAGGATCTGATCAGGACGGCTAGAAATACTGAGCCAGATCTTCAGTTTGTGTAAATCACTGTGGCTCTTCTGAGGAGTTATGCTGATTTATGCATGCTAGACATCATGTCTTCTCCTAGTCTTCCTTTCAGTGTGGAGCTTATACTTTGTCTTATCATGTTTTGTAAGGAAAATCCTCAGAGATGTAAGCAAGTACATTTCTGTGTATTTTCTACTTATGAGTGAAATAAACTTGATATCCAGTTTCATCACTTAAAAATCTGGATTACCAATGAGAAAAGCCCTTCAGTTCTGTTTCAGAAAAAAAGATGTGCTCTGCCACAAAAGCTCTGTTCTGCCATATATTGGGTGTGTGTTTTTGGCAAGGACATGAATGAGAGTCAAGGAAAGAACATAAAAGTTAAAGCAGGTTCATGTGGAGCACAATGCACTCAATATGTCAGTGGTAGCTTTTTCACTACCACCTCAATAAATATAGAAGCCTTTAATGGCCTCTTACCAACCATTCAGTCCAGCCAGCTTTATGATTTGTATACCCTTCTTCTCTGTGCTGGGTTAAGATTCTGCTCGGAAATATCCTCTAAGCTCCTTCACACTGTGATCATTTCCCTGCAGCGTGCAGCCACACTGAAACAAATTCACTGAGCTAATTGTCCTTTTATTTATCCTTTGTACACTGGAAGTCATTTAAAAGTCTTATGCCAGTGTAAAACTGGATAATACAGTAGTAGGGCTAAGTGCTGTTCCAGCTAGTTGTGTAGTAGGAAATAAGATGAAATACAATCCTTTCTGTTTGAGTAGTTTATTTTCATAGAGCCAGCTCTGCTTTTACTCCAGGGGAGATTTTCATTAACTTCAGTCAGTGGGGGGACATGGCAATCTCCACGTTCTTAGTGGTCTCAGCCATATCTCTGCATAAATATAAAAGAAAAAAAAAGAAAAAAGAAAAAAAAAATTATGACCAGATCTTCAGCTTCTGCAAAGTAGTAGATCTCATGCCATTAGTGCTTAAGATAGAATCTGGGTTTGGATCTTGTATTTCTGGTGGGATTATTCAGAAGAGGAATTCTAAAGGAGAACCTCTAGAGTATGAATTGGTGTGTTCTGTACTCTATAGCCAAATATGCTAAGATTTAAAATTATTCTAGTCTTTTTAAGAAGCATGATCCATCCAGTGAGCCAATGCTGAAAAAGCCTTGGCATTGGAATACACTGTCCAGATGAAATTGAACAGTGACATTTTTCTCATAAGAAAGCAAGATACATTGCTTTGGATAACTTGATGCAAATTTCCAGGAGAGTAGTAAGATTAAGAGCAGGCTAGTTTGATCTTCTGTCTGCCAAAAGTGTGGATTTTTGACATTGTGAAAATGAATGAGCAATATTTTTCCATATTTGCACTTAATACACTGCTCGATAGGTACACTTGCCATCTGTATCCTTCTCTGTTTAAAAAAGTCCTCAGTCCAATTCTGCCTGTCCACATGTTCACTCCAGGAAGAAAAAACATATTGCGTTAAGTGGCAAATGCAAACATCTCATCAAAGCACCATCCATCTAAAATGATTAGTAACCATGGTCAAATGACCAGGGAAGTTCCACACGAAGGTGTGCTTCATGATGGCAGATGGTTCTGCTGACTGTGGGAGCCTGCAGACTGGTCTCAGGAGTGCTGTCTTCTGCCTGCAGCATACATGGTCTTGAGAATATTTTGATGAAAAGTGTGAAGCATGTCGGTATGAGCTGCTGGTGCAACATGGTGACAGCTGCAGATTCTCTTCTCAGCTGCAACCAGCCCCCACAGGTGCTGGGGTCGTCCTCACTGTAGCAGCCAGATTGTCACCAGCCTGGTCTCGTTCATGACCAGCTATTTCCGTAAGTGATCACACAGCATCAGGGCTAGTCAAGTGAAGGACCATTTATCTGCGTCTGTAAGGGATTCACAATCTGGCCATGTGCTGACTGAAGCATGAAATGTGAAAATAGATATCTGGAAAACATAAGTTTGGTATGCTGTGATACGAGAGGGAAGCGTGCAGATTGCCATGAGGGATAGGATGGCAGCTGGAGCTGGGGAAGGCACAGGAGATGAACCTTCTGCTGCTCACCAGCGTCAGATCGCAGGGCAGTGTTGGGGTGCAAGTGGCCCACACTGTTGGGATACTCCCCAGAGGGTGTGGACTGCTGGCAGGGGGCTTTCCCCTCATCTTACATAAGTAAAACTTAAAGGGTGTCTGTCATGTATGAACATATATCCCTGTGGCTCCTGTCCAGGCAACCAGTAACTGAACAGTTATGGCTTGTTCCTACTGCCTCTCACTGGCACGCAGCTGAGAGCAGATTTTGCTGCTCCCCATTTGTCACCGCAAACCTGTGAAACGTCTCTGGATCTGAAGCTTCTTTTCCTTCTGTTGTCTGCAGGTCCCACAGATCTCAGTATGAAGAGGCAGTTAGCAACCAGCTCTGGATCCTCCAGCAGCTCGAGCTCCAGACCCCAGCTGAGTCCCACTGAAATCAACGCCGTCCGGCAGCTGGTGGCCGGGTACCGAGAGTCGGCCGCCTTTTTACTGCGCTCTGCAGACGAACTGGAAAACCTGATTTTGCAGCAGAACTGAGTCACGCGACCTTTCCCGCCGGCCTGGTCTTATCGCAGAGTTTCCACTAATGACGTTTTGATTTCCCAGAGCACACGCTTCGGTTACTGCACAGTCTTTTAGGAGGGTTAATTGCCATAATGCCACGCTGTTCTTGATCCATAAAGTGATGTGTTAAGGTGCTTCAAGTGAACTTGGACCTCTGGCATTTCTGAGGTAACTTTGCGGTGTCCAGCCTATTGCTTTTGTTTTAGTGTGTCAGCATAAATATCGAAAAAGTGGCTAGAAATTAACTCGTTCTAACAAGTGGAGGAAACAGAAGATGCTGTGGTGGTTTAATAAAACAAGCAAACAAACAGAAAAAAGGTTCAAGATCCAAGTGCAATATTAGTGGAATGTGATACTGACTCATTGGACTTAAAGCTGCAGTATATGGCAAAGCGTTGCCAAGTGTCCTGTTGCCACAGGGCATAATTGCAATGAAAAGGATCTTGTATTTTAAAAAAATGTAATTTTTATAAAAAAACAAAACAAAAGAAAAGATTTTTGTTTTCATTCAAGATTTTTCATTTTTACTTTGGTAAACTTTTTCACTGGTCCTGAAAATGTTTTGAGGAGCTATTGTAAGTCCCCCCTTCCTCTCTTGAACCCCTGACTGTGCCCTTCTCCCCAACTTCATATTCTTTCTACAACAAGTAACTCTAGATGCTGGATAATTCTTCCCCCCTGTACTGTAAATTGTCATCTATGGAATACCTTCCAAAGGAAGCATGCATTTCCTGCATTCACACCATTCTCAGTTCCATTCTGTAATATATTGCAGCTTTATTAGCAATTAATAAAGAGCTGAGGGTTTTTTTTAAAAAAAGACATATCATTGAGAAAAAATAAACAAAGATAAATTGATTTCTTACAGTGAGCTCATCTAAATCCATGATCACTGCTGCTGTCCTATACAAGTCCCTCTAGTTGTGATTGGATGTAGATGATGAATGTTAAGAGGTTGCAAGTGACAATCTGAAAATTTGCACTCTTGTGTGTATTTATTTTGTTTTGCTTAATTTAAACAAAATTCTTACGGAGGAAGGTCATTGACACTTCTGGTATGATTTGTAAAATTCCCAGGCCTCACTAAAACTTGTACAAAACTGTTAATGGATGCAGCTGCAACTATAATAAAACTCTTCTTTCCCCTTCCCCACTCTTCCCAACCCCTCTATTTCTTATTTTATAATATTGATTACACATTAATGGTGTTTTCTTTGTGCACTACGGCAGGCTTATTTTTCAGTATATAGAAAAAAAAGTACTTTAGTTTATGCTTATTGTACTATCTGTTCTGTTGTTTAGCTTTTGTTGAATAACAAGTTTCTTGTGCATTCCTAAATTTGCCTTATTTCATGTACAAAATTTTATGTAATTCCGTTTTTGACAATGAGTTTAAGGCATCAGTGATATTTTATATCTACTTGTTACATATAGTTTTCCAAGTAATGACTGTGATTGTGACCAAGTAATGTGCACTTTTTCTTGTAACTGTGGACATTGCTATGCTTTTTTTTCTCTAGTGTTTCTAGAATTACTGTTGCTTACAGTTCTGTAAAAGAAAAAGAACTTTTGTGATACTGTTGGTGAATATTAATGTGAAAAAGCCTATGAAATATGAGTATTTTGGAGGTACATAGATACACAAACATCTCTAAGTTGTGGACCGATGTTCACATATTTAAATGAGAATTCAAAACCTGAGGGCTGGAATCATTTCCTCTGTTTTGTTTGGGTAAATAAACAGATTTCTGTGTTTAAATACAAGATTGTGAAACATTATAAAATTTAAATTGACATACCCTTTAAAGCTATTTTACTGCCTTTAAAGATGAAGAAGGACCTTCTCGCCCAATTCATGCAGACACCCAAGCCTTGTTTCTCAAAATTATTGACTAATTCCAGTGGGCTGAACTAGCTGGAGCTTTGTTTTAGTGAAGAATTTCCTCAATAAAAGCAAAAGTGGGTGGTCCATAAATCATGAGGACCAAATCACTAGCATTTTATAATTTAAAAATGCCTGGAAGCAACACCATTTTGCCAGTCTACAATTATTTTTAAAATCTATTGGATGTTCTTTTAAAGACACTTATTCTTGGATACGAGGATATTGCAGATTCTTACTATCCATCATGTGAAAAATGCCTTTGCACCTAATATTGTCTCACCACACCTGTGAAAGCCCATAGGTTGTCTCTACCTTAGTTATGTGGTTCTCTCTGCTTTGTCTCACAAGGCGTTCAAAAGCCTGTTTAGGAACCAAGTACTATTTTCCTCTCTTCCTCTTGCAAATATTTCCAGCTTCTTTTGTCTCTTGCCTGGCAGAAGGGGGTGAACCAGATAACTTGTGCTACTTCACTATCTTGGCCTCATCTAAAGAAAAGCTCTGGCATACATCTTCCACAGAGAAGGAGTGACAACTGTGCCTAGGTTTCCTTATTCCTGTTGTGCAGGACAGTGTTCCTCAATCTGCCAAGCAGGCAGCAGCCAGCAGTTTGTCTAAGGAGCTGTTTGCCAGCCAAAGATACTTCTCAGCTGGACAGCCTCACAGCTTTTCAAGCTGTGTTGCTAAATCCATATAAGGACAAAGACTAAAGTAAGAGAAGATAAGAGATTTACTTCAGCGTTCTACCCTTTTACCCCACTTTCCCTCAATTACTTCTTTGGATGGAGAAGTAGGAAGGTTGGTGGTCACCTTATGCTCTTCAAGACCTATGGCTAGTCTCCCGTTTTCCTGCTCCACCCCAAGCCTACCTTGATAATCCTCCAAGTAAGTCTTCTACATCATACACATCCTCTTCTTCCGATTGCCTTCTCTGAAATATTTAGGGCCTTCCTCAATTATAGGGGCAACTGATGTCCTTCTCTAAAAGCCTATACTGATATTCATCTTTCAGTCCTCGAGTGGTGCCAAATCCAGAACACTGATGGGATTTTTACTCTGTAGTTGTTTCCACCTATAAGTACTGGATTTATTAATCTCTTCAATTGTAGGTTCAACTATAGTTTTAACTTCTTCTAAGAGGGTACTGAAATTAAGTCCCATCCTGCAAAGGAGAGACCATAAGTCTCAGTCTGCTTTTGTGTGTGCAAATTGAGATCTCAGCGTTGCAATTAAATTTGCCCTCTTGGATCAAGTAGAGGAGCCACCTCCTTTCTGTCTGCCTTGAACCTCCTATGGAAGTAAAGACACAGGTGGAGAAGAGCTCTCTCCAGCTATGAACTGATTCTGGTATCCAGAATTAACTTCAGAGTTTTATTTCTTATCCACATCTTCTGTTAATCAGTGCCTAATCACCTCAGCTTAAGTACTGCAGTTCAGATGTTCAGTCCCTTCCAGCAGGGACATGTCCCTAGAGTATTCCTGCTAAAGGCTGCCTTCAGAAAAGCATTATACTTAAATCTGATATCTTTATTATTCCAGTGCTTACAGTTGATGCATGTCTCACTAGAGAACCTCATAAGTGCAGACTGGCAGGACCTGGCCTTTCTTGAGACAGTCTCACATCTTCCCAACTATCCTGGAGTTTCCTTGGTTGTTGTCCTGTAAGACCTTCAGTATTCAGGGAGTTGCTGGAAAGGGATAGACGTTGGAAGAATGTCCTATAATGTTCCTAAATTCCCATCCAAAGTTAAGTCCCAAACTTTACTATAGTCTCAGTGGATTAGGACGCTTTAGGCTTACATCTGCACTGGGAAGATCAATAGTTTATCCATTCTTCTCTCTTTTCTCCCTGATTGCCAGAGTGGCTTTTGTTGGTAGGTCAAGGACCTGTGGGCAGCAGCTCTAGATGAAACCTTAGGTTGTGGGAGTGGACAATCTGACCAGTTTAGCAACCAACCAGATTTATTTACTGATTTTGATGTCAGCTGGAAAAACAGAGTCAGAACACATGAAAAGTGATCTGGGGTCAAATATTTTCTTCCAGATTGGCACCTTGCTGCCTGTCATCAAGGGAGAACACCACCATGTCAGCTGCAATGGGTTTCAAAATCTACAGCAAACCAGGGCATGGGTAAGCAAGAATTTGACAGTTCAAAAGCTGCTCATCCCATATGGAGAATTAATTATCTGAGTGAGGTAAAACAGATGAACATGTACATGACTATGGCTATAAAACTAAGTGGAAAACAGTGATAATGAAGAGATTGGGTATTCTTGCTGTAATGACCTGAGTCACTGCTGACTGCAATTTACGTAAAGGTAAGTTTTGTTGGTAAAAACTCCATTGAAACAAAGAGCAATTTAATCTGTAAAATGCCTATCTATGTGCTAAAAACGTCCCCTAAATTTGTTAAAACTCCTCTGAATTGGGCTTTGGCCAGCTTGTGAGGCATTCACAAGGAAGACACATTTTTCTCTGCGAAGAAATGCTGGTCTCAGTAGATCCTGGACTCCAACCACAGTTGAAAAACTTTTACCAGCACATGAAAATGAGTTGTGAATTAATGGCAGAAACCAAGTAAAAGCCACACAGGTGATTACTGTAGTAAGCACATAAATGGCTGTACTGGGCAAGGCCACATAGTCTGTATCCTGGGTCTGATAATAAGTAAAACAGGTAAACTTGTAGCTGATACAGCAGCCCCGAAGAGAGCACATATGTAGCAATGCTTTCTAAATGCATGTCCATGGCCCAGTTTTAGGCTGTGGGAGGTTGTCCCCATCTGGCAGGGAAGCCCCCACCTTGTCACTCCTTCACTCCCCACAGCAGCACAGTATGAAAATCAGAAAGGCAAAAGCCAGGAAAAAAAAGTGGGTCACTTAAAAAGTGAAGAATGAAAAAAAGAAAAAGTGAGGGAAAGGCAATGACTCACCACCCCACCCCAGCAGACCAGCTGGTCCCTGAGCAGTGGCTACTTGGGACACACACCCCACCCCACGTGATGCCAAGGGCAGTACTTAAAGTAAAAAAATCCAATTCTCTTTTTCTGCTAAGGGGCCTTCAGGACTGGATCAAATGTTGGGGAAGAGG